TTTTTTTTTTTTTTTTTTTTTTTTTTTTTTTTTTTTTTTTTTGGGAGTCCGATTGTACACCCATAATCTGAAGGCGCACAGATATGGGGACCCGGTCGTTTTTGGACAATGCTGAGGTAGACAAAGCAATAATACAACTCGATTGGAGGTATCATATATTATAGGATGACGCCATAAAAAAAAAAAAAGAAAAAAAAAGAAAGGATGATGCCAGCATGTTTAGTTTCCGACGATGCGGAGATAGATGAGCGACAATGATGCCAGCATGTTTAGTTTCCGACGATGCGGAGGTAGATGAGCGACAATACAGCTCACTGGGGATAAGTGTGCTATCTGGCATACGTTTTGAAGGCAGCTATGTAGGGATAGGGAAGGTATGCGGGTACGCTGCCTAGTTTCAAAGTCACGGTTTGCAAATAGAAGAACAGTAGCCAGGTTTCGAATTGGTGATGCGGATAAGTTGGACGGCGCGGAAAGGTACCAGGACGAATGGGCACACAAGTACCGGTACTGCTTCGACCCCTGGACTCAGAGCCACTGACGAGATTCGAACTCGGGCACTATGATTGTGTTGCTTTTATGCTTGTTTTGTGTAGATGACCAAGAGACACTAGAGACTATGAATACAGTGATTGCGTAGCCTATGACCTCTCTGGGTCCGACACCTACGGGCTTGTCGGCATTTCCGGAAATGCGGCATAGCCCGAAGGCGGAGGTGGGAAGGTGGAACGATGGAGTTGAACAAGGGTCCAAGTGCTCGGTGGAATCCCCCTAATGATGACTGCATGGCGGCGGTCGAAACCAATTGGGGTAGCCATTACCCACCGGCTTTCCAATCAGATGTTAAAGCATTGTTTATAGTACTTTATACGATAATCTTTTGATGCTCTGTACCCTGTGTACCGTGTCTGGCTTGATTACTTGGTGTTCATCATGTGTTAAGTCACATCTAACATATCAGACAATCCACTGGGCCCTGATAATAAAGGGAACCCTAAAAAATAAATAAATAATAATAATTAAAAAAAAAAAAAAACTAAATTCTCCTGAACTTTTAGCGTCCAGTTTCGACAAGTTCTTGCCAGCTCCCAAACTTTTAGGAGGCCGGGCCCGACAACAGCCGCCGTTGATAAATCTGACCGGCGGCCGTCGTTTCGTTTCGGCCTCCTGAAAGGTTGGAGGCCGGCTTTTTGCCGAAACGACAAAGGTACTACCTTCTTCCCCCGAATACAACGTACGGTCATTCTAGCTGTATTTGAGGGATCTTTCAGTCCAGATACAGCTATAATGACCGTACGTTGTACTCGGGGGAAGAAGGTAGTGGTTTAAAAACAAAACAAACAAAAACAAACATCCGCTAGCAAACCCAAACGACGGTATTAAACCGGGGCTGAGCATGACAGGACAATGTTATAATGGAACAATGTTGGACCGCAACCAACCCCTCTCGGTCTCAGCTGCAGGGTAGATCAGATTGCACTATCAAAGAAAAGCGCTTCTACGAGCTTAAAACTTAAAACTTAAAGCTCTCCAAGAATACAAAACTTCTGTTGCAAAAAAAAAAAAAAAAAAAAACTTATGTTGCACACCACACACGAAGCCATCATGACCATCCCACAACATAACCAAAACACTTTGATTTCTTCTCATGCATGTAGTAGAGTAGGCATCCCCTCCCTACCAGGGTTTCCCAGCCCTACCTGTCTGCTCCCCATCATACCCCACCATACTCGATCTCACTGGTCCCGATAAAATGCTATGCATCTCACTACCCCCCAAATACTGACTGCATGGGCTGGGTGGGGGGGGTACCAAGTTGGGGGTGCAAAGGCCAGCAGCAAAGTAAAAGAGAAACAGTTGGGCATATTCCCTGTGAGTCCCCCATTCGACCAGCGGATCATCATCCTTTCTCACAGTTACCCCTTCATCATCTGGCACTTTTCATAGCTGCCTTCCTGACATATCATGCTGCTACCCAAAACGATGCATGCCAAAGCACGTGAGTCGTCAACGCATGCATCTTGATATCCGTGCGTCTTGCCCACACAAAAAATTGTCAAGGCACGTCACCACCATCATCTGCACTGTACTGACCATAGCTGCCTTAGTGACAAATCATGCTACCCAAAAAGATGCATGCCGAAGCACATGTGTCGTGATTGCATGTATCTTGATACTCCTAACACTTCCTATGTCTAGTCCCAAACAAAATTTGTCTGTTTCCACTGTGCTCTTCAGTGTGCCCTTCGTCTCATTTCGCAAGCATACCAGACACATATTCCCGACCAAAATTTGTGTGTTTCCACTGTGTTCTTCAGTGTGCCCTTCGTCTCATTTCGCAAGCATACCACATACATATTCTGATGAACCAAGCAAAATGGCATGCAGAACGACAGGGAGAGGTGGCAACAAGAGTGACGCTACCTTAGCGGACTAAACACAGGTGAAATCCGGGGGTGAATCCAGGTTACAGCAGGTGAAATCGGGGTTAACGCAGGTGGAATCGGGGGGGTTAAACCAGGTGAAATCGCGGTTAACGAAGGTGGAATCGGGGTTAAAACAGGCGAAATCCAGGTAACGACGTAACGTATAAATCCCCTCGTACTGCAACGGAGTCCGGCCACACAAGCACAACCTTCATTCAACCCTGGTTAACTCCGTGCCAGCAGCCGCGGTAAGATGGCGAGGAAACACTTAGAACAAAAAGCTTTCGAAACGTGCCGAACCTACAGGCATTCCAGTGTTACAGTGGGTCATCCGAATGGACAAACTAATAAAGAACTGATACAACTGAATGAATGAAGGCGATAATTAGTGAAAAAGGACGGAGAAAACGCAGAAATGCAAGAGAATTAGGAGGAGGTGGGATAGTCGGATTTGGCCGGCCGTATGCCGACCAACAATTTGATGCCTGATTGCTTGGAACAAGGAAGCAAGTTCAGTCAACAAAACAAAAGCGGTGTAAATCAGGAAAAACAATGGGTGGGAATACACAATCGGTGCCCATCTGATTGCGTACCCATTTCGCAAGGCGTAGTGAATCATTGAGCGGAGAGACGAAATGAACATAACTACACGGATGGCGAAACGAGACTAACAAACGAGCGGTGTAAATCAAGAAAACCAATGGGTTGAAATAATGAGACGAATGGATAGAAACGGACCCATATAATGCGAACAAACGAGAAAGCGCGTGAGAGAGCTGATGATTAAGAAAAACAAACGGACAGACTGAAAAGAAAACGGACAAACAGATGGGGAAAAAAAAACAGATCAATGAAGGAAGGAACAAACGAGTAGAATCGTCGATATGCAATGCAGTGCGAACGTACACAGAGACGTAGCTGCCGCTGTAAAATACGCCTTGCCGGTTGTGACAGCAGCAGCGGCAGCAGCAGCTAGACACAGCCATTGCCCTCTACCTCCTTACGCCACAAGTACGTTTCCCACCTATTTCGCTCCGACGCGGTGATTAACAAACCGCAAAATCGCAGGTCACGCCTGCAGGACAGAATAGGCTGGTGGTGCCAGCACTGCCAGGTAAATTGCAAGCCACCACACCGCGGCGGCTGGAAAATCGCATGCCACACCAGTTTGGCTAGAGTGAAAGCGCTACAAAATTTGGCATGAGGAAAAGAGGCTCTGAAAAGAGAGACACCAAGAATAGGAGGAAAATCAACTGAAAAATGAAAGACGAGAGGCTGAAGCTCAGTGTGTGGCAGCTGCACTACTATGTCCTTGCAAAGTTCGACAGTGCAGTTAAGTAACAGCATACAGAAGCCACTACCTTTTGCAGTGTGCGCTCTACGCGCATGAGACACAGGAGCACTTTATGTGATATAAGAGGCAGTAGTGTAGGACACGAACATGGAGCACAGGACCACCATATGTCACCTGAGAGTTTGTAGTGCGGGGCGTAGAGCAGGGCAAACCCATAAGTTGCGTAAACATAACATACTGGGGTGCAATAGAAAAGACGGACCGCTGTTTCTCTTAATCACGTTAAACATAACGATTATGTACACCATTTGATACTGGACGTTGAGATGAGCATATCAAACTTCACAGTTTGCCAACCCAGCAGCACCACAGACTACACATATGTGCGTGGATCATCAGGCAGCAGACAGGGGGTTGAGAGAGAGAGAGAGAGAGAGAGAGAGAGAGAGAGAGAGAGAGAGAGAGAGAGAGAGAG